CCTCAGCTGTTTGTACTCTCGTCCCTATCCTGTCCCCTGTCCGCCTGTCCCGAACCTCACAGGTCTGAGTCTGCTTAACCTCACTCACAATCTGCTGCTACAGTGGCTCAAAGGTGCTGCTTGCTGCTATAGCACTGTGAATGTACTTTACTCATGACATACGGCAACACACCTACACCAGTGTAGAGTGAGTTAGTGGCTTTGTCTTGTTTAGTTGTAGTGAATATTAAGTGAGAGAATGAAGACTTGTTGACGCCCAGTGTCACCCTCTGTCAGCAACTGTCAGCGATCACTCTGCGATGAATGACGGAGCTAATGGCTGTAGAGTAAATGGATGATTGATTGTTGTTGTGTCAATTTATTCAGTTTTCCTTTTTGGTTGAAAGGGCAGAACAACTGTAAGTATCTGTGAGGCCCTCCCCCTCTGACTTTCCAGCTGCTGTTTAACTAAAGAGGTGAAGGACCTTGGACTGTCAAGAGCCCATCAGCAGAGCCTGCGATTGAGCTGCAGACCAACTAACGAACTGCTCAGCACTGTGTGGTTTTGGGTTTGGTGTTCTCTTGTGATTCAGATTGTGTAAAATAGCACCTGCTTGTCCATCTGTACCCCTTGAGGTCCAGACTGACTGACTGCGGCCCTCTGGATTATTTATTAATCCTCTGAGCTTTTTAACTCAATAAGTAAAAAGCTAACTTTTGTTTAATCATTGCAGTGAGCTGTGGCAGAAGCGGATCATAAATAGGAGGATTTGAGTAGATTGCAGCGTGGTAGAGCACTGTGAGCCAATCCTTACAGTAGCTCTATTTACATGTTTGCATGGAGTGTGTGGTTGGAAGGTCTTATCAGTAGAGTCCATGCTGGATCCTCCACCTCTCACCCATGTAATCAGTCACATATAAAAACCAATAGTGCTGTGCTAAGAGAAGTTGTCCTCGCCTGCTTTCACATGCTCCTTTTTGTTATTATTAAGGAATGTAAGTCTGTCTGATGTGACACAAAGCTGTGTTTCCAGACATTAAACTTGTAATATTCACTCACTTATTCTGGATTACTGCTGTAAAGTGCTTTGCCTCTCTGATAGCTTTGTCCCAGTTCTGGGGCCAGATCTTCCAAAGGACACAGCCCCTCAGAGGACCTGTGGTTTAGGCCAAGCCTCTGTCTTCTTGCCAAATAACGTGCCTTTGAGTTTTCAACATGGACAATCAAATATTTAAAGGTTTATCACCAGGAAGTGTCTCTGAAACAGTTGCCAAATGTAAATGACTCTGATAAACTGGGGCAAATTCCAGCATTTAGAGTGCAAATTTGAATTTTTTTATGTCAATGCAGAACAGACAAATAACAAATAGTCCACCAGATTATTGGTAAATACAGTATATCTGTAAAATGTCTTTCTCTGTATGGCCCAGTCTTTGTGCAGTATAAAGCGGAGAAAAAAGGAGACACTGAGGATGATACACCAAGTCCTTGGCTGGACTCGAGTTGAGGATTAAAGGGTGCATAATGCAGTAACGGATACTGAGGACGCACTGTTGTCTCCACCAAATTCGGGCAAAAAAGAAAAAGGCTGCGTTTCTTGGCCACATCTGGAAGAGCCTCTGAAACAAGACAGGTTGTTATGATGTTCTCTGTACTTGTGAAAATGTCGAGAATCAGAGGATCCTTGTTGGACATGCAAGCAGCTCTCTCTTTTTTACAGCCCCTTCTTTGTCTCCAATCACCTGGAATAAAAACCCCTAAAGAATATTGAACCCACATAGAAATACAAACTCTTAAATGCCTTCCAATGTGTAGGCTTATTCCCATTGTGCTGCTGGAGATCATTAGTATCATGTGCTAAGTGTTTGTGTAAGTGCGTAGAAGCAGGCTTGGTGGGTTTAGATGTGCTTTGTAGTCTCGGCCTGACGCCTACCCTGCTCTCATCATTCAGCCCACTCACCAACACGTCCTGCTCGGCTGTTCAATGGATGTTCACATTAGTGTACGGTGCAAGGCTGTGTCTCACCTCCTTTGATCTTAAGTTTATGCAAGCATCTCATCTGCCTGATTTGTACGGCTTTGGCAGAGATGTCATGCTATATGGTCAGTCAGTTGTCATAGTAACTCCACAAACTAACGCGACTGCGAAAATGATGTTTTTGTTCCTTGTCGGTGGAGTCGGATTGAGCTGTGGCTGGATTTTAATTGGAGGATAAATGGCAATGGATAATGAATGGATGATGCAGGGCATTCAGGTGTCGCAGTGTTCAGTGATGCACAGTCATGGTACTGGTATTACTAATATGTGGTTTTCTAACTTGGACACTGTGGAAAAACATGTAAAATACTACATCCAGTGCTGATGTAGTAGAAACACAACTTATTGCTCTCTTACATTAAGAACTGCTCAGAGAAATGCTCCCTGCACCGCTTAGTATTTTACATATGGATGCAATTAGAGGGGTCCCAGCCTGTTTCCCTACATTGTTTATGCCATTTGCCCCTGTGACTATTAAACCCACTCTGGTTTCTGTCAGCCATTCATTGATCCTTGAAATACTGCAAGAATTAAAGGCTTCTCCTCCTACCTACCCCGCATTCAGCTGCTCAAAGAGGAAAAGCCCCATTATTGGTGTTGTTTTAAGTGTCCTTGCGTGAAACTGCTTTTGCAGTTGCAAATGGATTCGGTGTTCTTTAGCACAGTGGAGCAAATACTCAGTTGAAAATGGTTCCACGGAAGCAAAAATACTCTGAACAGGCATTTCTCGGATTTTAGCTCAAGTTCAATTTATTTCTTGATCTGAAGATTCAAATTCGTAACTCTGTGTTATAAACTGTAGATTTGAGATTTAAAAGACTACCAGTCAGATCCAAACTACTGAGTTTCTTATTTGAATTATAGGATGCAGTAATTTTGGATGTATACTACAGAGTAATATTTCTTTCTTATTTAGATCCCCTATGATAAAAAGGAAGTTTTTCCCTTATTAATGTACCGATGACTGTTTCTAAAACATGTATTCAGATTTCCAGGATTTTATGTGTAACAAAGCTAAGGAGGTTGAATATTGGGCTGAAATGCCCCAATATGACATGGTGTGACGGGAATATTTTCATGGAAAAAACTTAGAAATATGTGAGAAGACTTCTAAGTAATTTGAAATTATTATTTTAGATTGTCTGTGTTTTCAATCCCATGTAAATCTACAATGTCAATAATTTTAAAATTTCAACGTAGATTACCGACCATATTTCACTGAACACAAAGATCTTATTGATAATATTACATTTCTGTGATTTGGGGAAGATTTTTCTTTTTTGGGAAGGCTTTTTGTTTTCTCCACATCTTTCCTTTGCCTCCCTCAGTCCTGAGAATTACAGAGGCTGCACAGGCAAATAAAAATGACAATTTGGAGCTTTTTTCAGTGCAAATTTAGGAGACGTGAAATCTCGAAGGAAGTTTAAATTCATGACATTCATGGAAACATGCATTGAAGAGTTTATCTTTCAGCAGGCTTAGCTGTTACTATGTGGTAGGCTCTTAATATTTCCATGGATATTGTGAGTAAACTTAAGTAAAACACAGACTTTGCGTATCCTGTGCAAATGTGCTGCACAAAACAGAAGTGGTGGCATCATTTTATAAAACTCATGAAGTCCCCAAATAATACTAGTCCTGTACAAATTGCACTGCAAAAAAAGGGTAGCCCAAATATAAGATGTAAACACTAAAATCTGAGAAGAAAAATGACTTAAAACTAGTGAAATTATCTGTCCATGCAGCAAGTACATAGAAATCTTGAAATAAGATTTTGAAATCTTGAAATAAGATTTTTAAATCTAGAAATAATTGTCCCAGGTAAGTATCCAAAAATCTTGAAATAAGCGGAAATTGGTGATTTCCAGGTCAAAATACTTGAGTTCAGACTTGATATTGTCCAATAATAAGAAAAAAAACTAAATATAAGTAAATAATTCCTGTTTTTATTTTCTTACATGTAGCAAATCAATGTCAGGCCTGCTGATGAGCATTGGTCATCCAAGCACCTCACATTCACACCTACGGACAATTTAGAATCACCAATTAACCTCAACATGTTTTAGGATCCCTGTGCCCCCACTGGGACGTGAGCCGGTGACCTTCTTGCTGTGAGGCAACAGTGCTACAAACCGCACCACCTTGCAGCCCAGTTTTTCTGTTGTGCCACATACATTATGCTGGCATGCAGCATAGCAATAGCTGATTGTAAAAAAAAAAAAAAGATTTCTACCTGCTTGTCATTCACTGACATAGTACAGTAAATAAAATATCACAGTTCATGTGAAAAACAAATACCAAAAATTACAAAGAGGACATGGAATAAATGCAGAATCAGCAAACTAAATATTTTAAGCCTGTTGCACCTACTGAAAATGTGTTATTGTATCATGAGTTGTGGGGAAGGTTGTATAGTTTCTCTTTTATGTTGTTTGGCCATGTTTGAAGTCAGAGCCATTCTCATACATTGCATTTTGATGCCTTTTTTATAATTCTTAATTCAAGCAACTTGACTTGTTACTGAATCTTGAAACAAGCTTGATGAAAGATAGTTTTGGTGAAACAGCTAATTTAGCTTATTTCAAGAGTTCTTCACTCAGTTTTAAGATTCCCACACTAATAGAGATAATAAAGATGTATTCAAGCTCAATTTAAGATTGCACTGTAAAATCTAGGACTAAAAATGAGTAAATAACTTTTAAAACAAGCCAAATTATCTATCATGTCTAAAAATAAGATTTTAAATCTTGGCAAGTCCCAGATTATTTGCAGTGTGGATATCTGATGCACAGAAATGAGTTTCTGGGGTTAAATCAGGATTTTAGTGAGACTTAATGCTGTTTTGCGAGTTCCACATGGAAGTAAATTGCTGCTGTATCCACTCAACTCAGTCTTCTCCTATTACAGAATCCAGAACTAATTTAATTTAACCCCATGATCTCCCCCTGTCTTCCTACTCACAGCATTTGTTTTCTCCCTCAGGACACACTGAAGCCGACGTTCACGGTAGCGAGCCTACCAGGCACTACCAGCAGCGCCCAGTCCACAGTCCCCACCACCTCCACCACCATGCAGGTGAGCAGCGGACCTTCGTTTCCCATCACCAACTACCTGGCCCCCGTCTCAGCCAACAGCAATGTCAGCGCCAACGGAACTGTCCTCAAGACTGCTGGTGGCTCCACAGGCGTCATGCAGCTGCCCAGTGGCTTCACTTTCATGCCCGGTAAGTTGAGGAACAAAGTGATGGGGTTTTTGTCCTCCACAGCTCTGTTACACTTCTTTATTTTCTTTATGGTTTGTTTGTCTTAACCTCATCCTTTGGAAGTGAGATGACACTTCTGCCGGCCTTGATGTTTTGTTAATGTCGCTGTGCTGTCTAGCTTATTAGCTGATTAGAATTTCAATGGCACTGCGCCGTGACCTCAGTCGTCATCTCGGGGTGGTTGTGCCTCTCTCCTCGAGCTGTTTACATCACACAACAGCTCTTCATAGCTAGTCACCAACACTCAGCGCCTTTGGGTTTTTACAAAGCCCCAGTATCCAGGGGAGCCACGTCTGTTGGTGACTGGCCCTTCCTTTGATTGTCACTCGGGGACAGGAATAATTAGGTGAGAGGGACACAATAGACCTGGCAATGAGGGCTGATGAACAAGGCCCATAATTAGTCATGAATATTCAATGAAGGATCGGTGGCTTGTGCTGAAATTATAATTGAGGCGTACTTTGTGGAGCCGGAGCCTTGTGACAGAGTGGTCTTGAACTAGACATGACCCTTCATTAAGGGGGACTTTATAGGCACGCTCGCAAAACACAGGGGATCTGTACCTCACCAACTCAGGGAGGACTTCAGGGCTGCAGCCTCTGATATGGGGATCCCCAAAGTGTTTCTAAATTGGCTTTTCAGTAATTATTCATCACACGTCCTTTATGTAGTATAGAAATATTGAGTCTACATCCAGCAGCCTCTAAGAGGAGCCTGGGGATGCCGAGAGGTCACAGCTTCCCCAAAGGCATGGGAAATATTTGAATTCCAGTCTATGATTTGATATTATCCCATCTGAATAAGAAGCTCTGGAACATTTATTTGGACTGTTCATGATGTGAACGATTTCAAAAGGCTGTTTGGCACTTAAAAGCCACCTGGGGCGATATTTTCTATCGTGTATGCCGTTTGATCACAGGAGTTCGCGTTGCAGCCGTAGAGTCGAACACGACCGGCGCTCACTGGTGCTGTGTTATCCTTCTACTGGCAACAGTGTCACCTGCGAGTTGTTGTAGCGTGTCGGTTGTGTGTGTGTTGCCACAGCTAAATGCGTGATGCCCACTAATGGGTCCTGTTGGTTATGTTGACAGACAGGTGAAGGACAGCCAGACTTTGCTTCTGTCAGATTTCTCCCCATCTTCTCCTCTTTTTTTTTTTTTCTTTCACCATCTCTCTCTTCCTTCTGCAGCCTTCTCTCTCCCCTCCCTCCCCTACCTCATTCTCTCTTGCTCACTCACCCGCTCCCTCTCTCCTCCTCACCACCTGTCTGGCACATAGCAGCAGCGCCAGGTGGAACAACACACCCTCCCACACTAAAACCTCCTCAGCTGACAGCTTGAGAGGGCCTGCCCACCCTGCTGCAGCAACTGTGTATGGAGCATATGACCAAATGTGAGGGTGTAACTCCAGAGTCACGTTCTGAAATGAAATATCTCGCATTTGTTTGGTAAACACTCGGATAGAAATTTGAAACAAGTCGTGCATTTGAAGAATTTGGTCGCAGATTAGTTGTTACGTGACTTTAGACTTATATGTGCAACATCAATCCGTTACAGTGACGCCATCTGATCTTTAGACAGAGGTTACTTAAATGTTAATGTTCCTCACAACTTCTTTCACATAGCCACGACAGGGATGCAGAAAGCCACGGTACTCTGGCAATGTTTGTCATATCTGCAAGATCGGACAATACATCAAGGAGCGACTGATATACCAGATGCCAAACTGTCTACATAACTGTTGATACCTTAAAATCAATTTTAGCAGACACATTTACAAATGGACGACCACAGTCACACACTCGGACAACTTTCTTGTTGCTTGTGCCTTTGTACCCGTTATTGCGACTGCATGCAGTTCAGACTTGTTAAAAGTGATACCGAACTCTTCCAAGGTCCGACCTAGTAGGACTACAGTCCCAACTTTAATGGCAAAGTTACCAGGATGCTCATTCAGACACGAAACCGACACGTTCAGATGCCATCAGATCATGAGAAACGAGTGCCTGTCTGAGAGGGGCTTTTGCCTCTGTGTGTGTTTAAAGCTCTTAGTTTCACTGCACGTTTGCATTTGCGTTATTTTCTCTGACCTTTTTACAAAAGCAGCAGGCAATTTAAAGGTACCCTATGGTGTTTTTGAACCACAAGCAGCACTAAAGAGTCGTGTTGCTAAAAATCGGGTCCCAACTTGGTTTGTGTTGTGCACATGCACGACCGTATGGGTGGCACAATTCACACCCCGCCATCAGTTTCAAGCTCTCCTGCTGATCGACAGTTGGTGTCAGTAACAGCATTTTGCCAACAGAGTTTAAGGAAGGCCACATCAATGGATGTTCAGATAAACAACACACAACTTCAGATATTTTTTTTAAAGTAGACTTTGCAAATATTTTAGGAGGGAGAAAAGCTGCACACAATGTGTTTTGTGTTCTCCACAGGCCACCTTTGGATGTGTATTACCTGAAAATTCAAAATCACATATATAGCTTTTTGCTCGGTTGCACAACAGTCGTATCTTCTAGTCAATGATCTAGAACGTTAAGTTATACATTTTACAAATATGTCTTTTTGTTAGCCTTGCACGTCTTGCCAAGTCTTGGACGACTGAAGGTTGCCGACAAATGATTTCTCAAACTGTGATAATGTACTCTGCCCTAAATGAACTTATCACCGCTTTTTCAAACTATCCTTTCACTTTTAGTCTTATCCCCTTTATGTGTCTGTGTGACTGTGTGACTGCGTGCGTGCGTGTGTGTGTGTGTGTGTGTGTGTGTGTGTGTGTGTACCCCTGCAGCAGGCACTCCTCTCCCCCCTGGCACCCCCACCATTCCTTTGAGCCAGCTGCAGCAGCACTCCCTGGCCCTCCAGGGGCAGCATGGTCAGACCCTGGCCGCCGCCCCGCAGCCACAGCAGGGACAGCAGGCTGTCTTCCGCTTCCCTGCTGCTGTCTCCCTCACAGGTGACCTGCTCTGCATGCTGCCACAACTCTTGCCTGCCTATGCTAATCACCATCACATTTTCGTAAAGCTGCCGCTGCTGCTAAACGCCACCTCTTCTGCTGTGACTGATACTCACGCACCATAGAGTTACCTTTACTACTTGCATGATGACTTCTTCTACCTCAGCTAACAGTACGACCAATGGTGCACTCCCCATAACACCACAGTTCCCTGGGTAAGGTGTTTGATGACTTATTATAGTGGCTTCATACCGGCTTTGTGTCTCCAGGTGCAGGGGTTCCCCAGCAGCTCCAGGCTATCCAGGTCCATCCTAACACCCAGTCCACCTCCAACAGTGACAGCAGCCCAGAGATCTCCCACACCTCAACAAACTCCACTGGTAGGTCAAATTCTTCCTTCAGGACGGATTAAAGTTTTAGAGTTTGTGGATTTTCTTGGCGAACCAGCTCCATTTTAAAACAAAGAAACTCTCGTGCTCCAGGTAGTGGAGAAAAGCTACAAGAAAATGTAACTTATAATACACAAAACACATGGAGCCAAAGATGATGTACTTACAGCCATCCTCAAATGTATTCATACCCTGCCTTTAATGAAAAGGGAAAAATCACAATAGTCACTCAAATAACTAGAAACTGAAAAATGTAATAAAAAAAATAAAAATTTGCTAAATTATAATTTAGTGAAATAAGACATTGCTTTTGAATTGTGGTTGAAGAGAATAATTTAAAAAACAACAAAAAAAACCCCAATCAAAACTGTCCAAGACAAATTAGAGCACTTTGCTGATGAGCAGTGGCCAAAATCAAAATACCTGTCAACAGGTGGAGAAGTCTGACTGAGAGTTACAGAAAACATTTGATTGCAGTGATTGGCTCAAAGGGTTGTTCAACAAAATATTAGTTTATGGGCCCCATCATGCTTGTTTGTCTGTTTTTTGATTATTTTATTTTTACATTTCTGTTGAACCACAATTCAAAAGCAGCATCATGATTTTCATAAAATTTTTTATTCATTATTAGTTTTGTCAGTTTCAGCTTATTTCAGTGACTGCTGTTTTCTTCCTTCTTTAATGGGAGGGTATGGATAAATTTGAGGACGACTGTATGAACCCAGTGCAAACTGGATGATGGAGTTCCACTTGTATCCAAAGCCACTGTTACAAAATGCAAATATACATGGTCTAGATGAGTGGAAACAGGCTCCTCTTGTGTGTTTCCTTTCAGATGACAATGTGTTGTTACTGTCTTTATTCTGCTTCTGTTTGGAACGACTTGCGTCCCAGAGGAAAGCTTACAACTGCGGCTACACATTGCATCAGTAGGAGTGAACAGTGGAGTTTAGATGGCTATTAAGCGCCACCTGCTGGCCAAACATGTGCACAAACCCCTTACCCTCAATGTTTTCTCGTCCTCCTCCTCTAGCAACGGTAAGTCTCCCAGCAACCATTGTCACTTCATCGGTGCCAACGTCCGTGGCGGGTCACATGATGTACCCCAGCCCCCACACGGTGATGTACGCCTCCACGCCGGCGCTGGCTGATGGGGGGCTGGCCGTGCTCAACGCCTTCTCCCAGGGAACCTCGGCCATGCAGGTGTCCCACGCACAAGCCCAGGACACAGGTGAGACACCGAACAACACGCAGCTTACTTTGGAATGTGGTGCAAACATACCTGGAATTTCTAAAGAATTATTTTTCCTTTTTCTCCTAGGTGCTGTCCCTCAGGTGTTCCTCACAGCACCTCCAGGCACGGTGCAGATCCCCGTCTCAGCAGTGCAGCTACACCCAGTACGGCAAGATCTGCATTTTACAAGTGAAACTCTCATATTCCCTCTGCAACCAGCATGCCACGTGACTGCACTAATGCATCCTAACAGAGCACTGGCACACAGAGGCCACAGGGTTGTCACCTGTTGCCTTTTTTTTTTGTATGGATGTGGATGGATCAGCTTGTTTTACTTATTTGCAGCAAAAGTACACATGCAGTAGATTTAATAAAACACCCTTGTAGCAGTGCATGGAAATTGAAGTTTCAGAATTTATTTCTGTAATTGAGTTGTAAATATGTCAATATTTTAAACATATGCAACTGGAAATCCTGACTGAACTAGAGGGTTATATTGAGTATACTCTCCTGAGAGATAAAATTGCACATTAGAGGATATTATTTCATAGAGTAAATAACCTGAATATTAGAGAAAACATCATTTGTTGCAGCATTTATGCCTCTCCTCGATACACAGCATGCAGTGCAGCAGGATCTCCATCTGTGCCGGGTTGTTGTGTGATGTGATGACTTGCGATTGGCTGTCTGATGTACCGTCTCCTGACACTTGCTGCATTGCGTTCCAGATGGTGATTGGCCAACAGTCGAGCGGCAGCAGCAGTAATCTGACGGAGCTCCAGGTGGTAAACCTGGACGCAGCACAGAACTCGAAGAGCGACTGACAGACGGCTGGAGCTGTGTAACACGGCAGACCCAGAGACAAACTGACTGACTGACATCTCTATTTATTGATGCCTTCCTACAGAGTTTCACATCACACTTCTGAATGTGACTTTAAAGTACATATATACACACAATTAAGGGCATATGTGTGGCAGACCCTTATACGGTATGTTTTGGTATATAAATATATATATAGATATATATATATTCGCAAATGCATAGGAGATATATCACTATATCCATCATTGGAACCTATTTTCTATGCCATTAGATGGTGTTATTTTTTGCGTGTGTGTGTGTTTTCTGAAAATGTGTAATTACATGTACACACACACACTGCAAGGTGCCACAGCTTCACACCAGCCAAAGAGACATTTGTTTGTCTGAATGTTCCAGTGTGAGCAATTTGTGCACAAGCGTGTGTCCGTGTGTGCGCGCATATCTGGGGTTTATAAATGGGCGGGGAGACTTACAAAAGGAAAAAAAAAAAAAAGACATTTGGAAATGTACATAATTTTTTTTTAAAAATTGATAACTTGTATTTTTAGCCTGGTTAAGTTTGTGCAACGGCATGTAGTTGTTTTTTACGTAGTGGTTTTTGTATGTACATGAAAATGATTTGCATAAAAGAAAATGAATTATTTACATGTATATGTAAATTAATTTAATATACCATCACATGTTGATATACTGTCATGCTGTTGGGAGTTTTCACTACAAGATGGAGAAAGAACGCTGGATGTTTTTCTACATTTCTTTTTTTTCTGATTGTGACATTTGTAGGACTGTCCCTCAAATAGAGTTAAGTAGCTGGGTTGTGAAAAGGAAAATAAAATCTGTATTAATTTTGCTGTAAACATATTCTACACTTTAGCTGGGACGATTTCAGTGCACCAGCTGATTGGCTGGTCGTTTAGTATTACATCAGTTCTGCATTTGAGATTTACTTATGAGCACCTTTGGCAACAGTCTGATGGAAATATTTGATGTCTGAGCTTTTAGCATATTGTCATCTATAATCTCACCAGTGTTCATACAGAAACACGAGCATGGCTTTCACTCTCCTTAAATTGATATTTAAGTGACTTCAGGCAGAGTATTTTCACTTATTTTTAATTCCACCATTGTTGGTTTGATCCTTCTTTGGGTCTCAAACCTGGGCGTGCCAACAGGTTTTATTACATCAATTTTTTTGAAGCAGCCCATCGAAACCCGTGGCTCTGATTTGCCTTCGTTAGTTATGAATAACTGTAATTATGCTTCTCATGATGATTATTAAACATAAAACTCCAGTTTAATAAGATCAGGTGATGCCACTGTGTAGACTTCGCAATCATCTTCAATGCTACAATCAAAGCATTATTTCATTGTGTGGAAGCACTCTGTTACGCAAGTGAAGTCTCAGTGCTGCAGGATTACAACAGTAATGGATATTTTCTAAGGATCTCTTAATTCAGAGAAGTGACTTCAGGTGCTTTAAAGTGGTAAATTACTGTAAGACCCTGGTTGACTGCAATCTCAGTATGTACCTCAGCAATCATCAAGAATGAGAGTTATTAGACTGAGAGCCTTCTTTCTGCACCATAGTGCCTCTTTTCCATGGCTGATTTCTAAAATCACTGCAAGGCAAGGACGATGTAGGATTTACTTCTTTCCAGACCACCTCACATGACTTCTGGACCTGTCACACAATCCTCTGCTGTGCCCAGGGAGTGAGATTTTTGACTCATTTCTGCAGAATTAGCTGGATGACTGAACATGGCAGGCTTGAAGCCAAAGAGAATTTGATGTAGGATAAAGTTGACTCCTGTTCAGTTATTCACTGGGAAGAGAGGTCATTTTCATGCTTGATTGTTCTCTGGTCTATTCATGTTGCCATGTTATTCTGCAGGGCTGTTTGCATAGGAAAGCGACACGTTACAGGCATTCACTGCTCTGATATTATGTGGTGGTTATTCAGAGATATTATTTTGAAAGGGATAGAATCTGTGGTTTTCACCTTGCCATTGAAAGAAATGGTTATTTTGTGTATTTTTGTTTTATTGTACAGACATTTTGTAATAAAACAAGATGAAACACAACAAACTTTAAAGAATGAGCACATCTCCTGCTAAAGAGCTTTTTTTTTGTTTGCTTAAATTGGGACGGAGAATGTTAAAACCCTATGGTCCTGAATGAAACCTAATAAATGTGTATGACAGCAGTGATGACAACAGCTGATGAGGAATAAATGAACTGATGCCTCTGAGTGCACGAGAGAGTGCAGTGATGGCTTCTGATTATTTCCGAAGCGCTGGGAGGCAGGAGGAGTGAGCATGCACCTTACCCTATTGTTTCAATGATGCATTGCACAATCAAACTGGCCTTGAGATATAACGAGTCGTCCCTCTTCACACCAGAGGAAAGCAGCGATGAACATGATGAGATGCAGCAACATGATACAGTGATTGGTCTAAGATGACACAAATCAATTGGCATCAGATTTTTTTTTTTTTGACTATACTGAGTCCTGTACATCTTCACAAACCAAACAGAAGCCTATGTAACATAAGAGTTAGAAGCATAATAAGATAACAATAAACTGCAGTGAAGCCGAAACCCCTTACACATCGATTCTAGGAGTCCTCAGAGATCCACAGTGTCAAGTAAGGCATCTTATCTCCCTGTCAGAGTCTTCACAGACCAAAGTGCTGACAGCTAAGAAATCATCACAGATGGCTGGACTGCCTTTTTTCTCTTTTTTTTTCCAACAAAGAAAAATAATGTATGAGCATGCATTTACACCAGGTAGTATATCTCTATTGCTATTGTACATGTACAATATACAGCTATACATAAAAAGTTGGAAAGATAGTTGATTAAAAAATGTGCATGATTGACAGTTTTAAAAAAAGTTTCCCATTAAAATAGAAATGTTACTCCTGGTACATCCTAGATCATTACTTTTTTTTGGTTCATGAAACAACATTTGGAAAAAGAAAAAAAAAAGCGCCTTTTTTGTGTATATTTACATTACGAACAAGGATGAAGACAATGTGCAAATCTGATTCCATGCAAGCAATTGCATAATGCAGCTTAGGTGCTTGAGGGATGGGTTTGAGGTGGGACCAGGAGAAAAGGGGAAAAAAACAAAACAAGGCTGAACACCAGGGATTCATGGCTTCAATGAATGACTGTCCATTCTCAGCAATAAGAGGCCACACACGCACACAAACAACCCCAATTAGACCCACTAACAGAATACAAACATCCACGCCAGGAACACAACACAAAAAGCAAAGTTACATTTAGTAGCATCTTGATTTAGAGTAAATCTTTTGTAATTAATCACTGATGTGTGAAGCGAGGCTCTGATTTGAAGCTACAGACACCCTCCAGGGAATATCCAACCACACAGCCCGCTCCAACAACACACGGCACTGAGAGTACTTTTCCTCGTCGTTCAAGATCAGGATGAAAAAGTAATACTGCTAGTAAACGCAACACCTTGTAGGTAGTCATGATAACCTATGGTGGAACCCAGAGCTATGAACATACTGTAGTACAGTGGTTTCCAAAGTGGGAAAGTAATTTTGAGATAAATCTAGTGAGTCATGAGATAAATTATCATTTCTTTGTCAGACTTCCTTCTCATTTTTGTGGTTGTTCTTTTGAGTTTTTGGATAATTCTGGATAAAAGCTACAATCTGCAAAGTCTAAATTGCAGACATTGCTTTGTTTAGCAGGCTCAAGCCACGAAAGGATGGGAACCACTGCATGAAGCTACAGTATGTCCTACGTTAATGATGCACTTAAGACACTGGTTAGTAAAACCAAGAGGTCTGTTCCTCTGCACTTTCTCCTGAATAGAGCAAATAAATTACTAAGAACTATTGAGAAAGGGTGCAAAAACAAAAAACAAGAACACAGAGTCTCTCCTTAAGTATAACAAATACTGGTGTGTGAAAAATGCAACACTGGATCTTTCAAAACACAAACTTAAGATGGAATCCAAAGCAAGATGTTTCTTTTCAGAAATGCTGACTTGACATTTCCTGAAAAACCAAAAACAAAACACAAATGAACTCATAATGTAACAAGTGCAATGCAATGAGGTCCATGTGCAACTTAATTTGCAAAATTCACCATGTCATTTAACAAAATGCGATGGATGGTGACATCTTTGGGTGACGGTGATTACGGATGAGCTTTGAGAACACAAGCACTTAAAGACAAGATAAGCAAATGAGAATAAAGTAAATAGCGTCTGCTTAGTCAGCCAGCCATTACACCGACTGCTTAGATTCATTTATCTTAATACGACACTAGTTAAAAAGGCAACCTGAAAAGCAAACAAATAAATAAGATGACTTGGCATTTAAAACACGAGTGCAGTATCTTAAATACTGCAGGTCATTATGTACGTAACTACAAGTACAGATGTGGGTTCAAGGTAGTGGGTTTTTTTCTCTACAGCCTCTTGTCTTCAAACAGACAACATGTGAGGGGTTAAGATAAAAATGTTTCAAAAGGAAACAAATTTTCTGTAACTGAAAGGTGTGATTCCACACTAAGGCAATGACATTTACAAATGGGTGGTAATGGGACAGAAAATAAATATACAAACATCTTTTTTTTCCTTGATATAATAATTACAGGGCAATCATAATTTGGCTGGTGAAAAAGAAAGATGGAAGGGGGGTGGGGGGGCAGTGAGAGAAATTGCAGAGGCTGAAAAGAGTCCAGTGAACATCTCTTTGCACCTCGTCCTCTATCCTCCTCTTCCTCCTCCTCTTCCTCTGCTGGCTGGGCAGTGCCTGTGCTCTGACCTGCTCAAGGAACCTGAGAGGTCAGAGGAAGGGGAGTGATGAAACCCGTCCGCGTGGGCTTTAACAGTCTTGCGGGGATGACCAGTTAGTGGTATTATTTTTGCCGACCCTGTGCCACCGGTACCACCACACCCCCCCCAAAGGCCCAGTTTCACCCTGACCTGTCTGCCTGGCCGAGGCAGATGGCTGAACAGCAGGAAGATTACGGCGAGGACGAGGCAGCTGCGTGGTATTTGACGAAGGCGATGGCTGCCAGCTCTTTGCAGAACTCCTCCAGCACGATCACTCCCTCCAGCAGCGTCATGTGGTCGATACTACAAGAAAAACACACACAAAGGTGAGTGTATTATCAAGAGTCAGCTCAAAAGATAGGAGTCCAGAACCATGCTGAAGTACGTACTTGATGCCCTCTGGCTCCAGGCCTAATAATCTCTTCCTCACAAGCAGCAGTTTGGGTGTGAAGTCTGGGATGCGGTGAATCCTCAACATGAGATCTCCAACAACCTAACAGGAACACAAAGTAATTACCAAAACAGCAGTACCTTCTTTTCTGGGCAATGATGCAACATCAGTTTCTACACTCACTTGAGACATCACTGTAATCAACATAAACAAACAAGAAGCTGCTTTCATGAGTCTCTAAACTGCCTTTTACAGTGTGTGCCACTGGGATGGATTTCAGAGAGAAGTACTTGGACTGATTCATAGAAGAAAATAGCCAGAGAGGTGTTGTAGTTGCGCTCAGAGGTAGTCTTGCATGGATACTTTAGAAATGACAGAGTTTCAATACAAGCTTCATTTTCTGTGAGTTGCCTCAATGTGCTCCAGTGCACATCAGCAACATGAGTCTGCAGCGCTTTGCTTCCACTCTCTGAAGGCCTAGCGGGTGCACCAATCCCTTTTTCTTCTTCTCTCGCAGCACATTGACGCTTTCACGGTAACAAAATGACAGGCATGGCTGCAAATACAAATATTCTTGCAGGCCAACCTCATGTTGCCCACAAAGCAGAAGCACGAACCAAAATGGAATTTGACTTATAGATGACACTCAGGGAGAGGCAACTAAAACTACAAAGTCCATCTGCAGATCAAGGGAGGCATCAGGCCAACAGACATGCCGACTTGTTCAAAGGGTTGTGACAGACAACAGAGGTTCATTGTGGCCCTGAATATAAATCAGATGAGTGTGATTTATTTTGTGACATACAAAATCTTTCTATATTTATTCTTGATGTACAGCACTTTGTGTCAGCAGTGGTTGTTTTTAAAGTGCTTTACAAATAAAGTTGAGTTGAGAGAGTTTTCACCAGCAGGAAGGCAGGAAAGGGAAATGATCATTCTTTGACTTGGCTTGGATCTTTTTAGCTAACCCACCAAGAAGGCAAACATCTCTATATGCTAATACAGCGTTCACACTGCCAGCATTAACTTTACTACAGCCTACAAGCTGCTTAGTCACCAAGGTGTTTACAAATATGCAGATCAACAACACCTGTCACAAATAATCAGCTGAATTCCTGCAGAAAGCGTGACAGTGGTTGATTACAGTGTACAGTGGAGTAGTACACCCGCTTATCTCTGCAAGGATTGAATCTTTGGTAAGCAGCTGTATGATGTGATGTGAAGGTGGACGTTTATTTGTGAAGAGCTTTATATGAATGAAGAGCCTCTCCAGTTTTGGTTAAAAAGGAAAATGTAAGAACACGTTATTGTTTTATTTTATGGCTATTTTTCGCATCCTGCACTGCTTGCCATTGACATAGTCAAAATATTGTCTTTTTAAAAAAAATATTAAGAAAAAAACCCCCAATTTTAAGATCTATGTTGTGTCATCTATCACTACATTGTTTTCATGATGATTTAGGTCTTTGCTGTAACTTTTCAAGATCTGTATTGATATACAGGCAGGTATTGTACTGAAGTAACACTTGGTATCGTGACAACACAAGCAGGTCGAATAGCAGCAGGCTCACATAATTACTGGGCAGTGAAATTCCTAGAACCACTTACACTGATGTGAGAATAAATGCTCGGTTGCCTCAAACATAATTACATGTCAAAGCAAACAATCTGAAATACAATATAAGAATTTCAAGATGCGACACAAACAATCAAGACGTGCAAGACATCTACAAGCACCCAAATACCAGTGATTGAAAGCTTTGGGCACAGCAGTGTCTTCTGTCAATGATGGATAAAATTGTAAATGGTCTGCACTTATATCGTTCCTTTTTCTACCTTAGCGGTACCCAAGGTGCTTTACAATGTGTTTTGCTTTCACCCATTCACACACCAATGGTGACAGAGCTGCCATGCAAGGCACTAATCTGCCATTGGGAACAACTTGGGGTTCAGTGTCTTGCCCAAGGACACTTCGGCATGTGGTGGGGACTGGGGATCGAACCACCTCCCTTGCCATCAGTGAACAGCCCACTCTACCACCTGAGCCACAACTGCTTTCTAATCTAGACAGGAGTCTTACCCTGACGATGACAGAAAACAGAGATCTGCAGCCAGGGGCCAGGTTGATATAAGGGTCCAGCAAGTATTCGTGCAAGTGTGGGTGTGGTAACAAAGACAGCTTGGACAGCACCGCGGTCACCTGCAGGTTCACGTCGTAGGGCTGGAGGACAAAGAGGGCATCAGATAAAAAAATAAATAAATAACACAGGAAATTAACCGATTAGTCCTGACATTTCCCTTTAAAAAAAAAAAAAAAAAAGAGAAATGTCATGTACATGGAAGTACAAGCATAACCTGTCAGGAGCTTTTAATGGCAGATTCATCAATTAGCACAGCCCTCCCTTATAGATTTGATTTCCTAAATGCTATGCCCATGTGCTGCCAAAAAGTGCATTTCACTTCTGAATCTCTATTAGTCATCTTCACAATTCTCATCTAACATCATCTGTTCAATGAGTTTTGGGGCTTCAGGATTCATTATTATTATTATAATTATTTTAACAAGAAAATCGCACATCTCTGCATAATCTGCAGCTCATTTGCATTTTCTATCCATTTTTTTCTCCGCACTTTCTATTAGCAGAAGCATTTTTTGAGGATTCCTGTCAAGAGGACCTGATTTACAATAAACTGCAAATGGCAGAGCTCAAGAAACAATTTTGGAGCGTGGGAACATGAAATCAGTTTAGACATATCTGCTACTTAAAAATAAAAAACAAAATCAAGTCTTGAAAATCAATAAAAACAGAAGTGATGGCTGCTTAACCCTAAAACATTAGATGTTGATTCGAATGCAGACAGGTCTCTGGTATCTGGTTATACATAAATTTCCAGTTAGATGAAGAAGCTTCTATAATCTATATAGACATTATCGAAAGAAGTAGCATTCTGCATTCTGATTCAGGTGGTGCTGCATAAACAGCTTGGATTCACCTTATTGACCAGAGTAGAATTAAAATGGAATTTGTGATTTTCAAAAGGGCTTTTTAAAAAAAAAAAACAAAAAAAAAACTGTGTCTTGTTGTTTTACTTTGTGGAATGATAGATTATAAATAATGCAGTCGACATTTCAACACCTAAGCAAGCAGTTGATCGAAATGGTGTCAGGATTACCACAGATGTTTACAATATGGTGGAGCTAACGCACCTGATCTAGGATGCGGCCCATCCTGTCGAAGAGAACTTTGAGGAAGTGGCCCTCGAAGAAGGGGCTGTCTAAGTTACACTTCTCAAAAGGCTTTGGATTTCCCCTCCAGTCCCACTGCTGGCAGACGCCGCAATAGTCCCTGAACTGAGAAGAACAATGGAAAAAATAATAAGCAAGAGTACCGAAGAAGCTGCCTCACTGCTGTTAACAAGGTAAAAATGCTATCAGAAAGTGAATTTACACATCACAATTATTCGTCCAGTGTATCATAAGCCTTGAAACAAACTCCAGCAGTCTTACAACATACTGCAATGAGCGCTTACCTGTCTGTGTGCATCTCTGAGGTAGGTGTCGTAGCCTGTGCCTTCAACATGATACGAGGACTTGGCCTCATCAGGCACCAAACACAGAAAACTGCAGAAAAACAGTATTGAATAGGTTAGAACTTTAAAAAGTGGGCAGGCTAAGCAATGTCACATCTTTCACAACATGAGCAGACTGTGCACCTGTTGACAATCTTGTGCACCTCTGTCTTCCCATCAGACTTTGAGTGGTCGGGACTCTGTGGTGGAGAGGAGCTGAGCCAATCAGAGCCAGAAAGCCTGCTGTTTGGAGAGAGGTCATCGCCAAAAAGTGGATCTTCCTCAAGGTCTCTGTGGAGAGAACACATATTCTTTTAGGTTACTTATACTGTATGTATTTAAGAACATTTTCTGATTCAGACTACGTATAAAGCAAAAACAAAACACATTTCTCCATTTAGTTTTAGACCAACGGTGTGTGCATCTGTCAACACAATGCAGAACCTTTTTTTGGAAGACCCACTGGTTCTAATACTACAAACACATAAGTCAGCATTGTTCTTGACAAGTACAACTCCACAAGTTCATTTTATGGTGCTTTAGGTTTCTGTGGAAGCCTTGAGGTCCTTGGCAGACAGAAGTCCATCCAGACTTTGAAAGGGATTTTTCTGGAAACATATGTAAATTTGACTCAAAATGTACACATGAGTTTGAAAACAGTTACACATCTAACAAATAAATCCCTGTGTATGAGAAACAATCAAATACAAAACATGACAAGAAATGTCTTTTGGTAGTAGATGGCTTAAGTGAGATTTTCATTCATCACTAAATACAAGAAGAGACATGCAAACTATGGCTTATTGTATTTCAATTTTTCACAGCTGTGATTTATGGTAATAAGTAGCTGAGTTGCATTAGCATGATCCTTCTTAGTCTCAGCTCACAACAATTAGAAGTGGCGTATACAATTTTAATCGAATAAACTTTTTGTTCTATTCAGTCAATATCTCCTCATGGTCCGTTTACTATTTATTCTATGTGGGCTTAACAAAAATCTGGTGTTAATACACAGCCTAGCCTTTGTAAATGGGAAACAAAAAAGTGACTCTGACCGATCCAACAACAGAATTCCAATGTGTCCGGCACATGTTCATTTTTTTTGCACAAAAACAGGGGGTAAGGACAAGTGAGAGTGCTGGTAGGACAGTAAATCTGTTAAATATCCACAATCTCCCTCCAGAATCAAACTCTACTTTTAAAACACACAGCAATCTATTGTGCAGAAAACGTGGAAGCGTATCTAAAGAACACAGCTAGTTGATGCATTCATTTTATTTTCAGAATTTTGTGTTCGTGCAGAGGATCGTCAAGAAGGTGCATGTGTATCCAGCAGCTCAGGGTGTTTTAGGGGGTCATAGGCAGGTCCTTACACAGCATCATGGGGCTGGCCATTCTCCAGTGGCTCCCGCTCCTCCTGTGGTTTGTTCTCCATGTAGTTCCTCTCCTCCAGGCTACGCAGCACCAAGCTGTGGAGGATGTGCTGGTTGGGCTTCTGAATCAGCTGCTCAAATAGCCGCAGTGTCATGATGCTGATCTGCGGACAGGAAGAAAAGAATAAGGCTCAACTCGCTCTATAAGCCCTTAGAAGCAAGCCAAGTATTTGCTCACTGACAGAAAAGAAGGCAGTGGCTGCTTGAACATGAAAGAGATGATTCATCCCTCTTTTGTGTGATGAAAATGTGTGCAATGGCTCTGTCAGATACTAATTAAAATTCATGTGGTTTGGTTAATCATATGATTCACTGGAACTCAGAATCCTTGAAGGGCAGATGGCCATTGGTACTTTAGAAAACTCAATCACGAAAAAAAACTACGTACATGGTATTTTCATCCTTGAATGCAAATTTATGTGATGGAGTGCAATAAAAAGGCCTCAGTGAGTCCCTTTTGACCTTTGACTGTTAAAGATACATTCATTAGCATGAACAGGTACATCCTGAATCATAACTAAGTGATAAGAACCTCATCTGACAGGTGATCGCAGTGCTCGATGAGTCTGTGTCTGAGAGGATTCTGGGCGATTGTAGCTGAAGTCTCTGGTTCTCTCTCCTCCCCGAGCAGGAAGTAAACCATCTCCTGCAGCAGTGCTTCTGATGTCACCTGTCTTATGATCCTGTTCAGGAGGGCTGTGGAGGTCAGGATGCCCACCTCCGACCTACGTGAACCCAAAAACACACCACCTGTGTTACCACGCAGTCACGACACTTACTTTAATACGCTGACAAAACTATGAACTTCAATACGAGTTTGATTGATTGATGATTCAAGGCAGGACTCACGTCTGCATGAGCTGTGGTTCCATCACAGACACAAAGAATCTTTCTCTCACTGCTTTTGCCATCACTGCCGCTGCTGACTGGAAGACAGTGAAGAAAAAAAAAATTCAGTTCAGCCTTCTGTGGCTTTCAAACACAAAAACAGCTGCTTTGGAGAGAACATCTTCTTTCATTTTGTCAATTCAAACAACAATATGAGGCACCAAAACACAGTGAGTCAGCATTGTTTAAAAAACCTTCTGAGCCTCCTTGATGAGCTGGTCGCAGTAATCTAGCCAGGACAGGAAGGAGATGAGGGCTCTCTTTCCTGTGAAGACGGCAGCATCCTCCTTCAGGTTATATACATCTAGACTAAAAGAGAAAGTATTAAAAGGTTTGATGCAGCTCTTCCAAAATATCCCCTAAAAATAGCATTTTATGTTATTTAAGCAACCTGTTAAGTCCAATCAAATGAAAACTTAAGAGAATATTTACAAGCCATTAATCTTCTGATTTCAATAAATATGTGGCTATAAAATGTAAACATGCAAAAGAAATTTACCCCCAGTTGACTGACTCTACTGTTTCAATGTCCAAAGGGTCCATGGACTGTGGCAGGGCTTTATAAAAGGAGACCAGCCTGTCGGTCAAAAGCTCACAGAGCTCAGTGTTTTCAGTTAAACACTTGGCAGCAGCAGGCTCTGGTAAACTGACCAGCAGCATCAGGCCCTCACATGCCTTCACTACTATCCTGCCATCCTGAGTGGAGAAAAACAAGTATACAGCTCAAGATACAAAAATTTTTAAAATAAAACTTTCCATACAGTAAATCACCATGAAACCCTCACTGAAGTTTTACTTACAGGGCTCTTTGTGAGGTTGAGCAGGGAGCTGACCAGATTGTAATTGTTGCTGTTGTTATTATTACTGCTTGGACTGGAGGTGGAGGCGGCAGCTGCAGCCTGTGGCTCCTCTTGGCGGTCGGCCTGCTCCTCTGCCAGAGACTGACCAGTGTCTGGAGCCAACGTGCTCTCCTTCACCCCATCTGTCGCTGCAGGGCTCTTTATCTCAGGTCTCTTTAACTTGTTCTGCAAGATATAGCCTCTGAATTATGACCTTAAAAATCCTGTAAGGTTCTTATTTTTGCCAATATACAAACACACACATTTATAATAGTGCAGCTTAACTTTGTTTTCTCTCCAGTGTCATAACAACCTACCTCAAGGAAGAAGTTGACAAGGTATGGGTCCTGCTTCAGTTTGGCACACACTATACAAAGGAACTGGATCTCTTCATTTTCTGTAGGAGCAGCCAGCACCTCCCCACACAGACGGATCAGTTTCTGACAGTCACATAGAAAAATAAGGGTTACAAGTACAGGACACAACCTGTCAGTTTGGAGACCATTTAGAGGCGAAGGACGATAAAAACACACTGAAATCTTAACTGCAACGCTTCTTACCTGTACAGGTCTGTGGACGTTGATGTGTGGCAGAAGAGGCTGACGAATGTGTGCTAACAGCTTTGTGTAGAAGGTAAGCACCTGTTGCTTCATCCCCGGAGGACACTGATGAGAAATCATATAAACACAATATGTTTGAAGTTATTTGCTTGGTGTAGAATAAACAGATGCACCCTTTGCAGCTCACAGTGCTGGTGACAGCTGTCATGTTTTGATTTCACTGTTGCTACTGCAGCTGATTGAACACTCTGTGCTGTGCTTAGCTTACTGCAATCCTCAGCACTCACAATTTTAATCTAATCATGAATTTCCACTTGCTTTCATCCAATATTACATATGTGTAGGATCTTATGACATGTTTATTTTCCTGTATGCAGTTATCAAAGCATGACTGCCTTACATCTGCTTTTCCCAAGGTGTAGAGAGTCTCCAGGATCTTATGGTGTAGGAGATACTCCATGCAGGGTCCTGTCTCTCCAGACTCCCTTTCCCCTTCCTCCTGAGTCAGAATGTCCAGCATCTGTTCCAGGTGTGATGGGATGTTGGTGTCTGTGACTGGGGCTTTGTCATCTAACAGGAGAATGCACAGAAACAGTTTGTCCATAAGCAACAGACATGAGGAAAAAGGCCTTACTCATCTTCAGTGTCTTGTGCAGTTTCTCTAAATGCTTCACCCATGTAATCCTACATTTTCACTTTTGCTCAAGCACAGAAGAACAACTGTTAAACTACAAAGCTAAAGTGTAGTACTATTTAATCAGGTGTAACGTCAGTCATTTTCGAAACAATTTATCAGGACAGCTTTTAACAGTATTGACTAATCCTGCTGGCACTGTCAATAGCTTCGTAGGTGACTTTGCAGTAAAATCCTGTTTTCACATGTAAACACATCCATTGTGCAGCACACTACCTGAGTAATGAGTTATTGACAACGGTCTGTTTACCCAATGGCATTAACTCAATTCAGTAAATGAAGGGAACACAAGCAAAAACAACAAGTATAACCCACAGCGGTAACTGTGACTGAACAAATAAATATGACAATGCATGAGCAAAAGTAGCTGCAAGGTGGCGCAGTAGGTTAGCACTGTTGCCTCGCAGCAAGAAGGTTGCCGGTTCGTGTCCCGGTGGGGGCATGGAGTTTGCATGTTCTCCCCGTGCAGCGTGGGTTCTCTCTGGGTTTCCCACACAGTCCAAAAACATGTTGAGGTTTGAATCAAATTCTAAATTGTCTGTAGGTGTGAATGTGAGTGTGCTTGGTTGTCTGTCTCTAAGTGTGGCCTTGCAATAGACTGGCGACCTGTCCAGGGTGTCCCCTGCCTTCGCCCTAAGTCGGCTGGGATAGGCTCCAGCGACTCTCGTGAGGATTAAACGGTGTATAGATAATGGATGGATGAGCAAAAGTATAAATAAAACTATGCACAAATGACCTCCATGGTGGGTCACATCAAGCTAAATGAATGCTGCATTAAGCACTGAAAAACAAAAACACAATAAGCCTTGTTTGTTTTATCAAGTGCTGCTTTAGAGTTCATACATTGTTAAAAAGTGTGCTATGCAAGCTCTCCTCATTTTTCACAAATACATGAACAGCTGTACAGGATATAAACACATATGGAAAACTACGAGAACTGCTGCAAAGAAGCTGTCAACAGTGAAGAAAACAGGGAGGAGACTTTCGTGGTCCATGATATTCAGGTCAAGCGGAAGATGTCAAAATGTGACATGACTGGGTTTACCCACCAACCTGACACAGACGTAGAGTGCATAAATTCTACTTGCTCAGATGCCTATAGGCAAACATGAAGGAAGCCCTGTCAGTCTGAGGATGCTCTGGTCCACACCGAGCTGCTGAAGTCTAATGCACACTCAGCCCGCATAGCATTCTCAGCATACTTCACAATAACGTCTTTCCACTAGGACTTTCCTCGTGATCGCTCTCTTTGCACTGCCAGTGCACAGTGGTACTACGCGACTAGGTGATTAGTCCATGACCAGAAAATGTCACAATCAAATAACAAAATGCACTTGAGGAAAATGTATAATACTTGCTTAAAAAAATAAGAAATTTGAAAGAGGTAACCTGCAATTAGCATTGATCTTATTTGTAATATTGAATACTGACAGATAATATATTACATCAAAGACTCAACACCTGCAAAACTCATACTGGTACATACAGTATGATCGTTATAAACAATGTCTTGTCATTGTGTTCTAACAGTAGATCAGTATCAATGGTACAAAGGAGCGCAAGAAAAGCAATTTGTGCAACAATGCCAGTATGTCTCAGGATTTTTCCTGCCTAAAAAAAATCTTTGGCACCTCCCAAAGGAAAATCCCTAGCACAATAATTGAGAGTAAAATATACATGTCTCTTTCTAACCAGTTTTGACAATTTGGGTGTCATGTACTCAAGCACATTAGACATTTTTTGTGTAATCTAAAGGTCAGAAATAAGAGGAAAATGCATAGATTTCTGTACCCATGCAGTGACAAAGACCCATTGTTTTGACTGTGTGTGTATCAATCATGCTTACTGTTAAGCGTAGTCACCTCCACAGACCCTTTCTGAGCCAAGAAAAGCCCCTGTCTCCGTGTGGCTATCATGACCAAAACATGTATTAGCTCAGTATTTCATACATTTCTTACCTGAAGTCTCAATGTAATAATGTGTAATGGCCTTCCAGTGATAGACAAAGTCCTCCTGTAAGGGCAGCGATGGGGCAAGCTGTAAAAGAAAATATATAAAAACGTTTTATGTATGTTTTTGTGGGTGACCTAGAGAGACAATATTAACGATTATTAGCAAAATAACACGTTACTGTTGCTTTTAGGCAGACTTCAAAGAATTCAGAGATTTTGCTCTATTAAAATGTGTGGCCGGTGACATAATTTTGTAGTTTTCACTAATATCTTAACATTCTTACATGGTTCTAATATGCTACAAAATGACTTTGTTTAGTGTGTTGTCAAAGCCCAGCACTTTCCCCAAAAGCTTTAATACTGAGAAAAACGGTCACTTTCAGGTGACATAACTGTCTACACTTGCCATGGACATTCTTGTACACAACAACAAACTATGTCATGGAGTAAGGAATAATTACTCGAAGATTTCTTAATAAGTCAGACATAGGAATGAGTCAATACTTTTGATGTCAGAGTGTTTGGGTCACCTGCCAAATAACTGTTTTCAAATCCTTGACATAATACAGCTTGAAAACAGGCTGCAGGCAGGTTGCTGCTGGTCTCTAGCTAGTTAGCTGGCTGGCTAACATGTAACATTAAGCCTTTTAACAATTGCTGAGCGAGAAACCCACACACTCTCATTTTAATATTAGTTCAAACATTGCGCAACATCAAACTAGGATGTCCACTGATTTCGAAATCACTCCTTACGAGAAGACTCTGCTGTTTGAAACGGAACAGCTAGCTAAGGTGTTAGCTTAGCTTTTAAGCTATTATCAGCTAACTTAGCGTACAACTAACTCGTTTTTTCTGGTTACCTTAATCCAGATACTTTGATAGAAAGAAGGAAATGGTTAGTTAATTTTGTAACCAAACACGCAATTGAGCACAGCCACTCCTGACAATATCTAACAGGTGTAAACAAACTGATAACAAAAACACAAAACGCTAACATTAGCTGAGTTAGCTCGCTAGTTAGCAACGGATTCCTAATGCTGACGTTACGATGTGTGGTGTCTGGGCAACGAAAGAAGGCCCATTTAAGCTAAAATGGACGTTACACAGAAGTAAACCAGAGGACAGAAAAATACTCCATAGTAAAAACTCACCGCTTCCACAGCGTGCTGAAGAATGGACGTAAATTTGGAGAACATTTTGTTCTTCGACTGGACTAGTTTCTCCCGAGAAGACCTAGAGAATTCCTCTATCTTCTTCTTCCTGTTGCTACCGCCTCGATCCAGATTGGAGGTTTCATACACTGACCCTTGTAACGAAAGAAGAAATCGTGAACAATAAAACCCCGCTACAGCTTCGGTGTGGGCCACGGGACTTTTACGGGCCTGGCACAACCAGTGTAAACAAGACGTCTTCAGCCTCGGCGTATGCTCACTTTGGACACGGTGGCACTTCGCTCGCCAAACGCTGCCTTCAGGGACCGGCAGGGGGCGCAGGAACACCGGCATACACGGAGTTCTGGTTACCGAGCACGATCAATGCATACAAATGGAGATAATACACTGATTGAGGGGCTATGATCAATAGTCAGTTTCGATCTACAAGCCAGCTGCGATAATCGAACTAGTTGACATGGCTATGGAAAAACTGCTGATTATATCATCTGTCCTAACGCACTGATTTAGGTCATATCCCAGAAATTGCAGTGCTTTTTCCTCCACACAGACCTCAGGTTCTACTTGATTTAACACCCATTGCATCTAGAATAAAGTTTAACAGTCTTGAACATGAATTTCCGCTAAAGTAGCCACATTAATAAATAAAAAATGGGGGGGAAAAATCAACAGCGATCGCTCCAGAGTGGATGTCAACTTTATGATTTAGCTCAACTACCTCAGAACAGCACCGTCATCCCAGACGGAAAGTAGGCTAACCCGGTTTAAGGTGACCAGACGGCAGCTGCAGGCGAGGAATTTCAAGAATGAATTGAATTTATAACTCTAAATCTGCGCTATTGTGTTCAAATATGGACATAAACTTGTTGGGGAAAAAAGGGATGCTGTCTAGTTCCAGGACACGCCCTGTCGCTGGAAAGTGCTCTCTCCATCGCGCGTTCTAGTTCGGTCCTCCAAAATCGCAGGCTCTATGTCTCCCTGCGTTTAATCCTATTAAATGACAAGCCACAAACTTAAAGATAAAATCAGGCTGTCAACCGGTCTTTTTTTTTTTTTTTTATTTTCCCCTTCCACCACCTCCCCACACTCTTCTTTCACCGGGGCATCTTCTCCTGGTTAATCTCGGCAAAAGGAGAGAAAAAAAGAATCTCTACCTACCGGGCATGTCTGCTAGAGGTGAGTATCTTTTGCCGCAGAAGCCTTCATATCAACACATAGAGAGGAGGAAAAAAAGTCTGTTAATCTTTCGGGAGGAGGGGTGGATGAAGGATGGGTGCGATGGAGAAGGGAGTCCTTTTTTTTTTTTTTTCCTAATGCGTCGGTCGTTCGCCAGGATCAGAATCAGAGCTGTGATAATGACACCGGGATTGTAAGTAGGTTAGACCTGTGTACAGCTGAAATTACAGCCTCCACCGCTGCAGCCCTCTTTTTTTTTTTTTTTTAAGACGAGCCTACAACTTATTTTGTTGATGTGAACAGTAGGCAGCCTAAAAATAGATCCCCCACTTTCTCTTTTGAAAATCCCAGCTGCTGTGACGGAGCTCCTCTGATGGTGGATTGTCATTAGTTAAGAGCTGATGGTGGAGGACAGTAGTCAGATGTGATAATCACTGTTTCTGCTAAGTGTATGACTTGCTGAGGTGAAGTCAGGTGAGGAAAAGGAGCTGAAGGAATGCAAACTGTAATTTGTTGATCCTACCCTGTGTGAGCTGTGGGGGATGTTTTGCTGGATTTCTTGCTTGAGTGTAAATAAGCTGTTGTACCTGTAAACAGAGCAGGTGGATTGTGTTTGTTCCCATGTGGAGGACCTTTCTTGTCACTGATTAAGGGCTGGATAGAGGCAGAGGAGTTACAATACCGCCACGACCTCAAGGTTGTTGTACTAAAGCTGCAACTGGATTCTGATCCTGTTATTGTGTAAAACAGCAGCCCATTATAAAGAGGTTGTGCAGCTTCTGTAAATGTAAAAAGACTTGTAAGCTCTCAATTTATTATTTATTTACGTGTTAATAATCTGCTAGGTTTCTGTTTATATTCAGCTACTTACATGTCTATTGAATTTCAGGGATGTGTCTCATACACAACTAGGGTCAGAAATAGGGACTCAAGGCCTCCTCAGGTGTTGACTATAGACAACACTGAAAAAAAGAGAGAGCCTTACTTAAATGAATTGCTTTAATTAATAATACACAATTAAATTTAGTTCACAAGTCATATTAATGTCATTGCTTTAAGTTGGATGAACTTAAATCATTTGATTCTTCTCAAATGAGCTTCATTTTAAGGAAAATCAACTTGAATTTTTTTAGTTTTTCCTACTAAAATATTTTTTTAAATGTAAAATCTGATTTTGACATTAGGCTTGTCATTTTTCCTCGTCTTTATTCTGTAATCATCATCAAAGATAACAATGGTTGAGTTGCAGCAGAAACATTTGAAGACAGTGGACGTCAGTTGCACAATAGTGAAGGAGCAGTAAACCTTTTTTCACACTTTTGCTCAAATTTAAATCACAGTGTAACTAAGTGTAATTTCAGGTTGATAGAAACCACAAAAGTCAACGGCCAATGTCACCAAAGCAGAAAGATAAGTGAGATGTATCTGAATAGGTACTTTACTTCAACGATAGCTTAAGTATACTTTTTTCAGATTCTTCTAGAGTGATGCCTTTACATCTTTAGGAAGCAGTTTTGTCTATGGGGTTTCTTACTGGGTATGCAAACCTTAATACACTATAGGTCCAAGCATAAGAGGCTGTTTGCAGTAAACCCATGAGGACAGTTTTATGTGTACAGTCATGTTGTGATGTTATTCTTGTTCTGTTCTGAAAGAAAGAGAAGCTGGATAATTTGTGTCTCTCCCCTTGCAATGGTATAAATCAGTTTGGTTTAGAATTTAAGGTAATGAGACTGAGTGCAGTATTTCAACAGCACACATCCCTCCCCTTCGTGCTTTGAAGCCTATAGCCAAGCCTGTGCAGAAAGATGACTTTGAACTCCTCCCACCCCTCCATCACTGATGTGGCCTACTGTATCTGTCCTCGTGGCTGCTGTTGCAGATCGATGAAGCTCAGAGCCCACTGCTTGACAGCCCCCCTGTGGTACATAGAACTGATTAGCACGCTTAAGCCCCTGCAAACAGCCAATCGTTATTCATGAGAAGTAGCTACCCTTAACCCAACGCTTGTACGATATAGTGAAATGCCAATTATGTCTGTGTTGTTTACACGAATGTGAGATTGCTAATCTGTTATCACAGACACATCAGGCTCAGTGACAAACACAAGTCTTTGTAATAGTATACCACATATAATACATAGTTATGGGCTGACCTGAGGCTGGACTGTAGATTATGATTTACAACATATACATGACAAGACCACACAAAATATTTTTCTGAATAGATATTAGGTTGCAAAACAATATATTCTTACTATACGTTGTAGAGAATCTGTGTGCACATCTCAATGAGTTGTGGCCAGTCAGAGTATTTTTAGAATGTTTTAAATGTTGTCTAATCGTATAGCTGATTGACAGACAATTAATCGTCAGCTATTTTGATAAATGGTTGCTCATCAAAGTCATTGTTTAAGCAAAAAGTCAAACATTTTCCAGCCCCAGCTTTTTAGTTATGATGATTTGCTGCTTTTAATTTTATATGTCATAGCAAATGTAATATTTTTGGGTTGTGGTTGGACAAGCAATATAAAAACTGTATTTGTTTTAGACATCATACAGACTACTTGAGAAAATAATCATCATAATAACTGATAATGAAAACATTTGTTTGACGTGAATCATTGAAATGAATGGTTCAAGCTTTCAATTTGAAGTTGCCAATAGGTTGCTTTGTCTCTGTTTTGGACCTTTGGTGTTATTGTGGTAAATATTTTACAGTAGCATTTAGGGGTGTAACAGTACACAAAAATCATGGTTCGGTACGTAGTATGGAAGTCACGTTTCGGTTCAGTTCTCACTTAAGGGGAAAAGTACAAAAAAATAAACCTGCTCAAATTTAATCCAAAACATTTGTTTATTTTATTAAACCAAACAGCTGTTAGCAGCTTAGTAAATCAAATTAAATATACAATGTTTACAATTGTAACAGAAATACTGCTGAATCCTTCTCAATATCAAATAAACTAAATAAAAGTACAAGTGCAGCGTTAACAATTCCAGCTTATTGGTCTGCTGTAAATGTAACTGAATTACTTTTCCAGTATAAAAAAGGAAGACACTGCTGCAAACAACAAAGTTCAGCATAAAATGTAAAAAAGAAATATTTTTCAAATGAAAGAAGTCTTATGCTGCCAAATTTGAGCTTGTGTACTGTTCATAAATGAGGCGAGTTTGTAAAACATGGCTAACTAGAAGAGCACTCTGAGAGCGCAGACCTTCGCCAAGCAGCTCATATCCACCATATTGTGATTTTCAGCAAGTTCTGCATTCATCTGATCTACACTATTAGATTCATGGAGAATCAAAACATAGCTTTAGCATTTGAATTAACATTGATATCATTAATAACATGCTGACAGAGTGATGAACGGTCATTCTGTACTCTCAAATTGTTTATTGTTTATGTTATTTCTGCAGTGACTTGCTGGCTTTAAACTGTTAGCTAACATTATGCTAGGTTGGCAGAACTACAGCGATGTTATTGCTACCATAAACCATAGACTTTGTAAAAGATGGACGTAGCTACCGTGACGTCACCCGTTGGTTTTTGCACTGAGAAAATGAAGCCAGGGTTTTCCTACTTCCTGGTTGACATCTTGGATTTTTGGAGCCAGTGACGCAAAAATCGTCAGAGCGGGGTGGAGCCATAGGAGCAGCGATTGGTCAGACGGATTGAGAGGCAGGCCCTCTCTGCCCGCCCACATTTACCGCCTTCTGCTCGCTTCATCTGTATGGTCGCTGCCGACTGTCAATCAAGCCAGCCACGCCCCTTGCCCCGCAAAATTTTGACAATTTTTTAAAAAAATTCAGTATTGATTTATTTTCAGATTGGCCACCTGATCTCTGGATTTGGCTATGAAAACTAATAAGAAAAAAATCCTGAGCTGGAGGAATGCAGAATTTCGTGATCTGTGATCACTTCTTTTCCAATTCAAGTCTATGGGAGCCAGGGCTTTTGGAGCCAGCAGCAAGCGGACGTAGTTTTTTGACACTTCCGGGTTGGCTTCATGTTTCAGGGCCGGTTGCTGTGTCCATCTTTTATACAGTCTATGACATAAACAGACAGGGAGTATCTTAAACTAGGTTAGCACAACTTTAGCAATGCAACGTAAA